AGACAGATGGGTTGGCTATTGGCTACCATGAATGAGAGAAACCAATCTGGTAGACAGAAGACGAACACGATGGATTCCTGGTGAACAAAGCGAGAGTGTGTGCCAGCCTGCGATGCAGCAATCAAGGAAGCCCCGTGCCACGCTCAGCATGTTGCTTGTCCATTACCAGCATGGGCCGCAGTCACTCCAGACACTGTCAAAAGCCCTGATGTACAGCAGAACCGCAAGCCTACCTTCTGCCCGCGTGGTGAAAGGAGAATCTGAGGGTCGCTTGGCTGCGAACTGGCCCCCGAGAGAGGTCATTAGAAAGCACAAACTGAAGAAGCCAATCCCTAGCACGAAAATCCTAAAAGGGGAGAAGAAAAGGCAAACGAATCAACATCAAAGCTGGAGAAACTGAATGCAGACGCACGTATGCAATTTTAGTTCCCATTGAACGTTATGCCCATTGTGAGACTTTTACACCGTACCAATCGACCCACATGAGCTCTCTCGGCTCATTACTTTAATTTCATAGTGCTGAGTGAGCCGTATGACTTGGGGGGCAGAGAGTGCAAACTCAGGTTTCTAAGCTTGAAAAGAAGTGCTTTGTACCAATTACATCTCACACTGAAAACACGTTTGCACACTTGGAAACAACATTTTAAAAAAAATTCTACCAATAAGGATGTGAATGGGGAGTCTCTTGCTTCTCTGCATCTCTCATTATCATCAGTGCTCCCCGGTTCACGTCGCCTTATAAATCCCCCAAATGTCACTCAGCCAGTCACTCAATCAAAATGCCAACCTTGTCTGCCTTTACATCTTTCTATTCAAGTCTTTTCTAGTCTCGTCGTCATCCGTGGAGGTGGTCAAACTAGCTAGGCTATCGAGACAAAGTAATTTGTAGAAGGTACACAAATGTCGTTAAAAAAATACTCAAGTCCTGTAGAGACGCAGTATTTGTACTTCCTTGCGTCACACCATGTGCGTTTGTCAACTTTGTTTCAAAAAAAAAAAGCCTGCCATCACCAAAATGGAAACCCATTTCCCATTACTGTGCGTAATGAATTAATTCGTTTCAATTTCAAGGTATGATATTCAAATGTTAAACGACCGCATTCACCCAAAAAAAGAGACACGCATGCAATGAGCTCATTAGCGTTTGCTTACCTGAATGGTTTGTAAGTGAGAAGACATCTCCTCGTCATCGTGGAAATATCGCCGCTCATCGTCGCGCACACGCGTGTCCATTCACCACCGAGCGGTGTGTGCCGGGCAGCACAGCACTACTCCAACGCATAACTTTCAAGCGGGCAAGTGGCAGCCAGCGACCGAGAGTGGCACCGAAAACACAACTTCCACGCTTCTCTGTGTCACTGGTCCACACCAACTTCTTCCTCCGATGAGTGCTGCGGCTCAGTGGCTCCTCGTTGATGCTGTCAGCCTCTCGCCACACACTGCGTGGATTGCGGATATTCGCCCAGCATCCCGCGTTATACAGTTGCTCCCGGACTCGACGACGGCGTGTTCTGTTCGGAGGGTTATCAACAACACACGACTGACTGACCCGAGAAGAAAAACAGTGGATGAAGACGGCCGAGAGCGCCATCTAGCGAGTCACATTGAAAAATGAGGATAAAACATGGCGGATGCTGAGAGAACCAAATCGATGTTCATCAACCCCACTGGGCCCCAAAGGAAGAAGGAGCGTGGATCACTCCCCACACAACAGGGCGATAGATACGCTTCGATTAAGTATATGAACATAAATACTTGAAAAATGAGGATAAAACATGGCGGATGCTGAGACAACCAAATCGGTGTTCATCAACCCCACTGGGCCCCAAAGCAAGAAGGAGCGTGGATCACTCCCCACACCACACGGCGATGGATACGCTTCGATTAAGTTATATGAACATAAATAAGGCAACACCAACTTAAAATATTGTGGAAATCACCCAAAAAGTTTTCAGAATGCTTCGTGGGAAATGGACAAACTTGCTTCCACTTTTTTTTTTTTATGTCACAGATCCGCATTCTCACTTAGAATATGAACATAAATAAGGCAACACCAACTTAAAATATTGTGGAAATCACCCAAAAAGTTTTCAGAATGCTTCGTGGGAAATGGACAAACTTACTTCCGCTTTATTTTTATGTCACAGATCCGCATTCTCACTTAGAATTTCATTGTGTTGTTTTTGTTTTGGGGCCCAATTGGGGGAAATTCCCGAATGCTCGGTCATTGCAGCGTCTTCGGGAGTTTCCGGTTGTGTCCTTGATATACACCAATATCAGTCGTCTCTCTGCGCCTTCAACATTGTAACAGCAAAAACAACAAGAAAAACCATTTAGATGTATAAATATACAATGTCGAAAACTAGACTGCTAAATAACAATTATCAAGCAAAAAGTGATGTGAGCGAACACGGGTTCCTGGAAAAAAAGGGTGACAAAAATCATTTTAAAACAAATGTAAAGTGGAATAATTGTGTAGAATAATAACCTGCAGCGTCTTCGGGAGTTTCCGGTTGTGTCCTTGAAATACACCAATATCAGTCGTCTCTCGGGGGGCTGCGCTTGCCATCACACAGTAACAGTCAGGGGTCCTATTGGGGGAAATCGGGTTTGATTTACAAAACATTGTGAGCTGCAAAGCACGAAGAGGGGAACAGCATATGAACATCATGTGCGCCTTCAACATTGCAACAGCAAAAACAACAAGAAAAATCATTTAGATGTATAAATATACAATGTCGAAAAAACTAGACTGCTAAATAACAATTATCAAGCAAGTAGTGATGCAAGTGAACACGGGTTCCTGGAAAAAAGGGTAACAAAAATCATTTTAAAACAAAGTGGAATAATTGTGTAGAATAATAACTGTAGAAAAATGTGGAAAAACAACCAGTAAAAATTCAAAATATCACTCCGGGCTCTATTGACTCCCTGCGGTAATGGGACTCTAAGCTGGTGCTTAATTCCCTTCTGCCTCGGGTCGGCTCTGAGCCAAGTACTCATGCTAGCGCTATTGCTCATCCATCAACTTTGCCCTGTGAATTCTGAAAGTGCCACTGTGCATTATTACTCATACAGCAGTCCATACAGTATTACAAACAAGGGGCGATAGTAGTTCATCTCGAGAAGGATTTAGACTTTGGAGTCACAGGGTCCCGCTATGGGCAAAAAAAAAACAAAAAAAAAACTTTATGTAAATTGGCATCTAGTTGTTGGAGAGATGCTAAACTGCCTCCAGCCTCCCGTGGAAGTTGGGTGGATATCCATCAACTTTGCCCTGTGAATTCTGAAAGTGCCACTGTGCGTTATTACTTATACAGCAGTCCATACAGTATTACAAACTAGGGGCGATAGTAGTTCATCTCTCGAAAAGACAGGAGCCTCCATGCCTGACTGGTCATTGGCAATTATCCTTCTGGATCCATTTAGGATTGCACTGTGAAGGTTTTCATGACTTAATAATGGCACGAGAAGAGGGGTCAGCATGTAAATGGCAAGAGAATGAAGCATTAATACAATTCATAGGTGTCAAAATGATTTTTTTTTTAATTGCACTCAATAACATTGGTCCAGACACATTGAACTTGCCTGCACGCCAAAATGATCGGTCAGTGGCCTCGTTCATGCGAAAGGCTATGAGACGATCTCCAAGCATCTTGATGTTACTATGACGACAGTTGCTCATCTTGTTCCTGAATCGAAGATCCGCAGGATTGTATAGGCAACCTTTCGGGATGTGGCCACAGGAAGGAAAGTGATGACCAAATGGCAAGAGAATGAAGCATTAATACAATTCATACGTGTCAAAATGATTTTTTTGTTTTTTTTAATTGCACTCAATAATATTGGTCCAGACACATTGAACTTGCCTGCACGCCAAAATGATCGGTCAGTGCTGGGCAAGCCCATAAGCAAACTTTTTGAGAATGTGTGTGTGCGTGTGTATGTGTGTGTGTTCTTTTTTTTTTTTTTTGTATGTTTTGCATCAAAAACATGCGTCATTAACATTCCCCCTCATCGTGTAATTGCATTACCTCATTGCATATAAAATGACTATTTTGGCCTCGTTCATGTGAAAGGCTATGAGACCATCTCCAAGCATCTTCATGTTACTATGACGACAGTTGCTCATCTTGTTCCTGAATCGAAGATCCGCAGGATTGTAGCCAACCTTTCGGGATGTGGCCGCAGGAAGGAAATTGATGACAAATTGAAGAGATGGATAATACGGTTGGTAACAAAAGAGAACCTCCAAATAAATTCAAGGTGAACTTCAAGGTCAAGGCACATCAGCGTCATATTGCACCATCGTTGGGGTCAAAATGGACTTCGTGAAAGACGACCAAGGAGGGCACCACTGTGGATAAGAAATCATGATAAATGGGCAAGAATTTCCTGTGTACAAATGAGACAATCCTGGAAATGTTGGGAAGGCCGATAACAAAGCATACTAAGAACAGAACACTGCATCCAATGTGAAACACGGAAGAGGCTCCGCTCTATTCTGCCGTGCCGTGCCTTGAATCTGTACAGCGTACTCCGAAAACTCAATACTTTCAAGGTATTCGAGAGACAAACATGCTGCACAGTGCCAGAAAGCTTGGTTCTCCGTGGCAGGTAATTTGTTATTGCAACAGGATAATGACCCAAAATCACTCAGTGTAAAAAACCCCGCCAATGGCGAAGAGCAAAACATCGGACTATTTTGAAGTGGCCTGCTGTGAGATCTGATCCAACGTTAAATCTTATTGAACATCTGTGAAATGATCTGAAAGGTGCCATCTGGAGAGAGAGAGAGCGCCTGCACAAATGGAGCAATTTGCTCATCAAGAGTGGGCCAAAACACCTGAAGAGAGGGGCAGAAGTCCCCACTAAAAGCGCATTTGATTGCAGTCACTACCTCAAAAGGTTGTCAAACAAAATCCTGGGGGGGGGGGGGGGGGGGGGTAGAGACCTTCACTACTCACAAGCCTCAACTGTCATTCCGGGACATGTTCTTTCACGTTCAAACACACACATCACACCACACCTGAAGTTACAAGAAGCCACGCTTGGTTCTCTCTGCGGTGAAGTGGATATAACAACTGCAGAAAGTTTTCACCCGGATCACAAAAGTCACCTTCACAGTGTGTGCAAAAGACCATCATGGTGAGTAAAAACCACCAAGAAACATGTCCGAAAATTGCATACTTTTTTTCCCCCCTACCTGTACTTTTTATTTGACAAATGCTACAACTGTGCAGATAAAAAGAAGCATTTGCTCCTGTGGCGTTGGGACGCGCGTTTTCAACTGGTTTTCCATCATGTGGTTCTCCCTGGCAATTGCCACCACGGGTGAGTGCTGTCTTTGTGAAATGATTTGTCTCAAGCCCATCTGTAGATAGTAAAGTAAAGCACCATCGTATCAACTAATACAGGGGTTGTGAATAAAACTGGTTCTTTTCTGGCAAATGTATCGGTTCAATCTTCTTGACGGTTTATTTCCCCCCTTTTATTTATGCTACTGGCACAATGGAGGAAGTGAAGTGTAATTTTAAAGTGTAGTGTAGTGTTAAAAAAAATGGTCACATACAGAAATAGGTTGAGGATACGGCATGCAGGTGCAAAATTAGTAAAAAAAAAAAGTGTTTTAAAAAGTGTTAAATATACTGCAATTGAAAGTTTTGTTTCGTTTTCGGATCTGATTTTAGCTAGAATCCTGTGATAAAACCATTGACCTGCAGGTGGCAGTAGTGGGCTATGTACACTATGGTGAAGGTAGCAACACTACGTGACAAGACGGGCCGAAAATACCAGAAGGTTCACGAGATAATCAAGCGATATTACACGTTATTTGGATGGCATGTGGACGGGATTGTCTGACCTTGCCTATATAACGTTTATAGGGTAAAATCTCTTTGTTTTGTCGAGCTGCAACATTTGCTTTTCAAGCTCTCGCACTTCTCAGCACAAATCCCTTCATTTGGCCAGGGCAGGGTTAAGCGTGTCCAACTCACAATAAATCAAAATTTCTTCCATTTGTATCCGATTCAAACTGGAAATTGCAGTTTTACCTCAAATTCAAGTTTTTGTTAAGGGCTATCCAGAAGTGGATTCATCGTCAATAGACCACATGATGATGTGATCCTAAAAATGTGTTGACCACCACAATTTATTCCAACGCTCTGAATAAAAACCCTCGATGAGCGTTTTATAGCTCCGTTAACAATTTTTGAAAAACAACTTTAGATCTCGCCGCATCAAATAGCATGCCGATACATTTGTGGGTGAGGTTACTGTTCTACACTGACTGTCATATTTCTGAACACATTTTGAGATGAACTATAATGTGACTTTGATGATCTCTACCATATTCTCTGAGGGCAGATATTTATCTGAATACGACCCCCGAAAAGGTGGCCCGCTGTGGGGACAACGTAACGCTGACATGTGAGGCCAGCTCTTACAAGTTGTTGGATGTTAAATCATTTTCCTGGACCGGTCAAAACAAAACATTATGTGACACGATGGGCAACATGGACTCTGCCGTCGGGTGCCAGAAGGAAACGGACGGATCGCTCCATAAACTCACTCTGAGACTCTTCAACGTAATGCCCAACCACCAAGGAAAGTACCTCTGCAAATTTCGCTCACAGGTCGGGGTAAACTACAGCACCAGTTTTATCACCGTACAAGGTGAGTTTGCTATTTTTTCTCATTTCTATTTGCCTTGTTTTGATTCTTCTCGTGGTTGTTTATCTCCCCAGACTGCCTTGGAAGTCAAAACTACTTGGTTAATGAGTCCGTGGCAAGCTGCTGGTTCCACGGAGTTTACAGCCGGGGTGAAATCCACTGGTTCAAGGGAGATGAGAACTTAACTTCACTCAGCTCAAAGGAAGACTTTGACCAATATGGACGCTACAATATCCTAAGCTCAATAAAAGTGCAAGACAGCACAGGAAACCAAATTTACAACTGCTCATTATGGATTACCCAGCTGAAGAAATACGTCTCATTTCAAGAGGTGGTCATGGTCAAACATTCACGAACTTCATCCGGGAGCAAATTCAAACTACAGTGGCTCTGTATGACGTTGCATGTCACATTGGTGACATTTATCCTGTCATGATAGAAGCAAGTTTGAACTTACTAATGAGTGTTTTATGGTCATATTTTTTTTCAGAATGTGTGTTTTGTATATGTACTGTAAATATATATATTTTTTGCAGAAGCCACCATTTGCCACTGAATGCTAATTTCCTCTAAAGCCACAGGAAGCAGTTTGAGCGCATATACTGTTTTTTAATTTTTTTTTTTTTATGTTACTAAAGTTTGCAACAAATACACAAAAACAAAACACCGGCTTTGATTTTTGCACTGTCAATGTATTTTTCACAGAAATGAAAATAAAAACTTGAAAAATATACGAAAAACTTCTCATATGAGATGCATCTTGATTTTGCAACACACGCGTGACAAACATATACTCTTCGTTTTATTTCATACATCAAAAGATGTATTCTGAGTAGGACAGGTTGGTCATTCGCCCAAGAAAAGTCCGTGCCTATAAAATGTGACCGCCGCTTACATCAGCAGTTGATGTACCCAGCAAGGAAGCATGTTCTCCAGTGGCCGGAGAAAGGTTAACCTGCCAAGAGCAGAATGCTGAACCTTTGTCGGAGGATAAACTGTCCCTTTCCCCCCCCCTGACGCTGTTGTGGTGCCGGGCGACCAACATTCGCGAGAGGACTTGGAAGCGCGATGAAAGCACAGATGAGTGCAGCGCGAAGTGCAGAATGCGGTGAATGGAGTGAGGAGTCTCTGAGTTTTGAGCCCTTTTAACTCTAGTCTCGGGCGTTCAAACTGCTACGCCAACTAGTTTAAAGTGGCAACTCATAAACATGATGAAAAAAAAATCCTTGCCCAACATAAACATGAAATTCATGCCTTCATCCCAAATACAAGGAGTCAAATGTTGCAAGTGAACCCTTGAACCCCATGAGCCATCAATGCTCAAAAGTATGTGTTATTTATGCATATATGCACGTTTGGAAAAACAACTCAAATGCAGACGCAGCCCAGTTAATGCTATAAAGTAGGGACGGCACCACGGAGTAATGTAATTAGAGGAGATGCAAACATTATGCCAGCACGACCACACCTCTCATTACCAGGACTGGATGTTCCCTCCCAGAAAGCCTGCAAGAGAGAGAGTCGGTCTGAAAACAATTCTGGAAGCAACAAGCATGTGCCATCTCATTATGTGTGAAGACACAAGGGTACAGAGTGAAAGGCCGGATTAGGGAGAGAGAGCAGAACATATCGGTGTGCATGAACTTGGGGGATTTGCTAGCAGGACTTCATGTTGACAGACGTCCTATGTCGTTTTTAATAGAGCAACGATAGGAGGAATATTAACGGATGACAGTGATTTCTCGCTTATGGCGGGGGTTAAGGATACCGACGTGACTGAAAAGTGACTGAAAATATTTTTATTAGCAAAGGTCAGCGATGGCACACCACCGCATTAGTGGAAAATGAATCGAGAATTCATGTACAATCTGTAGAGAGATCATGTTGATTGCTTTGGAATCAAGTAAAATATACAAGGCCAAAATAAATGAATTTATTCAAATGCGCACAACTGAAAAGCTGTCTTTTGACAGGAATTGCAACCGAATACCAATGAAACGTTGCTTTAGTCCAATATGTTAATTTGCTTCATTATTCGATGTCTCCATCATTCGAAGTCTGGGGAGAAATTAGTGACAGCCCCATGGATAGATAGCGAGCGCATCAACAGTATGTCTTTGAATGTCTGATATCACATGACCGCCTCTGTGATGATTGGATTGGATGACAGGGGGAGGCAGCCCTGGGTGTGAACATAAATACAGCGTGCGGATTGTCCGTCCGGCTTCATCGACTCCAGTTTTAGAAGTCCTCATCTTCCCGTCCTTAATGCACTTCACTAAATACAATTTACGCTGCAGGGATTAGAGGGCTTCTTTCACCAAGAGTTCAGTTACTCCGCCAGTATGTCTCTTGAAGAAAAAGAGAGGACAAATGTGCGACTAGTGTTTCTGGGAGCAGCGGGTGTGGGGAAGACAGCCCTCATCCAGCGCTTCTTAAAGGACACCTTTGAACCCAAGCACCGCCGCACGGTAGAAGAGCTCCACAGGAAGGAGTATGAGGTCGGGGGGGTCAAAGTCAACATCAACATCATGGACACCAGCGGCAGCTACTCTTTCCCAGCCATGAGAAGGCTCTCCATCCAGAACAGCGATGCCTTTGCACTGGTCTATGCAGTGAACGACCCGGCATCCCTGGAGGCGGTTAAGCGTCTGCGGGATGAGATTCTGGAAGTCAAGGAGGACAAGTACACGCCAATTGTGGTGATAGGAAACAAGATTGACCGCCACCACGAGCGTTTAGTGTCAAGTGAGGATGTCGTCTCGACAGTGGAGCTGGACTGGAACAACGCTTTCGTGGAGGCATCTGCCAAAGACAACATTAACGTGCTCCAGGTGTTCCAGGAGCTTTTACAGCAAGCCAACCTGCCCAGCTGGCTTAGTCCGACACTGTGCCACAGGAGGGAGACTTTTCCCAAGGAGAAGAAAGAGATGCCTAAAATGAACAAGGCCGGCGGCTGCCTCCTCTCCTAATGAAGTGATGGCATAGACGAGACCGATTTGAAAATTCACTGAAAAGGAAGTACTGTACTGCATGAAAATGAGTGGTGACTACATTGATGGGTGGCTGACTGGATGGAGCCCTCAAAGGACTCCTCATTGTAAGAATTGCCTCTAAATGATATCACAAGAAGTGAATTTAAAGATGGACTAATCTGTCTTTCTATCTATCGCTGATCAATAAAGACAATCTGTAATTCATTATTTCCATTCCGTCACGTTATTTGAAAGTGAAGAATTGGCCCCACAGAAGTCAAGCAGCTCGTGGCTGTCCGATATCGCCCTCTCATGGTCAACATTTGTCATGCAGCAGTTTGAAAAATTGGCTCAGAATGCAACTTTCGGGTGTCATTTCTCGATAAAAGGAGAGATTAAAAAAATATGGCTTTTTGTGGACATGTTGGAACGATGTGGAAAGCTGCTTAGGTCTTTGTTCCTGGACTGAAAGAACATGATATAAAACACTACGTATTCTAATCAAATCGTCCATTTTTACATCATTTCTCTTGCATTCACATCAACATTAGTATTGGATAAAGGCACCGGTATGGCAAATCGCTTCTTTTATTTTACAATGACAAACATTTATGTGGGAAGCGGACAGCGAAAAACGGGAAGACATCATTCAATTACTGTACAGCAACTTCCTGCTTGCGAATCAGCACATGCCTTTACAGTATCGTTGATGAGAAAAAAATGCATTGAAAGCTACACAACAAATAGCAAAAAGCAAGCACCCCAACATCAACAACATTGACATAGTAGTTTGCATTGGCTCATAAAGTATATGTCCCTGAGCAGAGAGCTATGTTAAGATACAGACTAAGCATCATTTCTCATGATCAAAAGGTGCACGTGTTCAAAACATACATAGGTCAATGGGAAACAAGTCAATTTACGTGTACACTAAGACGGTAATTACATATTTGCACACTGTTGCCATTCTACCTCTTTTTTTTCTGAATACCATAAATCTTGTCATCATCTAATCCAGGCACCCAGTGGTTGTGTTTTCATTTTGGTGGAGTCTAAAAATCATGTGAATTTTGGTCCGAGGCTCACAAAATGGCAATGGAAATTTACAAGTTTAATTTTTGCCACTTAATATGCTAGCATAAATAAATGTTTTTTTTTTTTTTTGCTTGTTTAACACTATACACAGACGGGGTGCCTGCCAACAGTCATACCATATTGCTAGCTAGCATGTTTGAGAGTGGAAATCACAAATCAGCATTGCCTTTTGGGATTTATTCAAAGTAAGTTTTGACAAGATCCTTGAGCCAAAAGTATTTCAATTTCATTATTGAGCTAAGGACCAACACTTAAAATGTTGACTGAAAAAAAGGCATTACATGAGCGCAAACAGCACACACTGGTGAAAATACTTTTTGGAAAATAAAGCGAAGCTAAATGGCTAACTGAACAGAGCAGCAGACATGACGCGGTAGTACCACAGACCAACAACGTAAATGAAGACTGTTCAACACCGTGTCGCTGCTAACAATAATAGTTTAGTAATAGTAATGTGAACTATATTATCACAGTTGTTTTTAAGTACATGAATTGAATGTGTTAGTCGAACAACAACAAACACAGGATGGTATCCATCCATCTTCAACGGCGCTTATCCAGAACAGGGTCGCGGGAGTCGATCCCAGCTGACAAGAGATGAATAACTATTCACACCGCCACCGAGTGGGAACCGATCCCACGCTGCCCGCACACAAGACAGGCGAGTGTGCCACTGCACTATCAGCGACTCACAAGCTATATGAATACCAACAAATTCATCTAATGGGGTAAGAGGGATTTTTCTCTGCAATAGTTCAATGATGTTTGCAGTGTAAACAGTGCAGTTCCTTCTAGTAACTCAACATAACCGATGTGACAATTAAAAGTATAATATGGTGCCAAAAAAAAACAACAAAAAAAAAACCTTGGTCGCAACGAGGTGTTGGGGTGGCTGAAAACCACATACCCCGTCATAAATGCAAGCTGATCAAAGTGCAACGCAGCTCCGACCAGAAAGGCCAGCAAGAGAGTTGCAGACTCATTAACAGCAAGGAGACGTGTTTTGCTACTTCTTAGTCACTGAATATTTAGTACCTTACTAGTTTTGTTCGTTTGTTTTTCAAGCAACGACAAATCATCTTGGGTTATGGAAATAATAATTCCAGAAAGACGGGACTTCAAAATGCACTGTATACTTAATCTTAATTTCAGCATGATGAAAAATAAAATAGTTAAATCCCGTAAACCTTTTTTTTAACTATATTGCATTTGATGGAGATTTTTTTTTAAGTTAAAGTACAGGGAAAAACTCTTGACTTAGATATGTATTGCATATCTTTTTTTTTTAAATCATCACAGTAGTGTCGTTGAAGGAGCAGGAAAGCCCAAACAAGCGCATCTCCCTTCAGTCACCCCCAGAGCCACCTCTCTGGTTTACACTCTAGTCGTCCACAGCAATGTTGCGAAACAAGTAAGCCATGGACTCTCCATTGTGGATACGGCGGATGGCCTCAGCCAGGATCATACTGACGTCTACCGTCTTGATTTTTGGACACTGGAGCTTCTGCACTTCATGCGGGACTGTATTTGTCACCACCACCTCAAAATACATCAAATAAAAATCCTTACTTCCAATGAAATGCTAACACAAACCTAAATTTGCAAGTTCTACGAGGTTGACAGTCGGCTCTGTTGCCTACTGATCAGGAAAACGGTACATTAAAAAAAAAATCAATATTGAAAAATATTAAGCACTAATTTCAGATACGGAAACTCATATATTACGTGTATGGATTCATTACACATAGTAGAAAATATTTCTAGCCTTTATTTCTTGACGGTTGATGATTATGGCCTACAGTTAATGGAAACAAAACTAAGTGCCTCAGAAAACCTCAACTTAAAGGAAACATTGGAAAGTTAATGAACAATTCACTTGTCCTCACCTCATCAATGGCCGACTCCTCGATGAGACGTGGAGCATCGGCAGAGAGTAATCCATGTGTGGCCATGATATAAATTTTGTACGCGCCTCTCTCTTTCAAGATCTCAGCGGCTGCGACAAAGTCTCCGACATCGTCTATGATGTCGTCCTGGGAAGCAAGCACAGCGGTTAATGATTAGTGGGGGCTTGAGGCTGAAAGACACCCACCACACCAAAAAAAACAAAACCAAAAAAAATCTGTTTTGTGTTTGTGAAGATGGTTGGATACCACCCCAACTATTTGGTAGAGTGTTTCTGGCAATTTGTGGCATGAACATCGAGTGTACTCTCAAGTACATGTACCTTGTACATACGCGAACACAAAAATCAAATCACGATCGTCAAAAATGTAGGCGGACAGCTGAATGTAACCCCATGGTGGGATACAATCAACAATACAGGGGTGGGGGGGGGGGGATACACTTTTGCAACCTCTTACCACGATGATGGCAATTCTTCCCCCCACATCCCCAACGACAGTTATGGGAGGTTTCTCCTTGGCCATCATTACTGGAAAGAGAAATTAGTTTGCGTTAGCGGCATTGCCGACTCCGCAGCCCGCCTGATCACAAGTCATTCTCGGTAGATTGGGTAAAATGGGTCGAGAAAATGGTTCGTTTTTTTTTTTTTTTTTTGAGGAAAAGTAGTCTGCCAAATTCCTTCCTCGCAGTAAATGTTTCAGTTGAAAACAGAAAGCTGTCTTGACTTGAAATTGGCAAGAGAATGTTACTTCTCAAAATTCTTCCCCCCATTCTACCCCACCTATAAGAGGTTGATTTGAAATGCCAGAATGTGCAGCACATGCGCCATGCAAAGAAAGCTTTTCTGCCCAGGATACCCAATCAGAAGGCAGCGCGTCAACCGCCTGTGGGGCAGGCAGATGCCAGCAGTGTGCATAGGAACAAGTTATGCACCAGAGAAACCAGAGTTGACAGTGGACAACAGAGGACGGCAACCACCGCTGAGGGTTTCTTCAATCACGGTTGCCAATCTTTCGGGTCAATCGCCAGTCCAACGTCACTGCTTCCAGCAAATATTTGCATACATGCGCCGCAATAACCACAATGCGCCTCGCCTGCCAAGCACAGGAGATCTGAGCAGGTTTTTCGCTTTTGATGTGCAAAAAAAAAAAAAAAAAAAAAGGAATCAAATCCAGACAATATGCATTTGCTTAACTTTCAAATTCGGCTTGAACAAATCATACTAAACATCGCCAATAAAACACCCCAAAATGGGCATTCAATTTAGCCCGGCTTGTCTTTAGGGTCTGCTTTTGCCAAGCGTCGCAACTTCATGGCGCAATATGGCGGAAGCAAGGCCGACGTTGCGTTGGGAGTGATTACAACAGAGCCAATTGCCTTTGGTGGTTGAAATTCGGCTGCATTGTGAGAATTGCTGACCATGTAAATGCTTGAGTTAATTCAAAGGGTTGAAGGAGACAATCAGCCAACCAAGCAAATTCTAAGAGGAAAAGTCTCAGGGAGAAGAGAGAGGAGGCGCATGCCTTGTGCAACACGACTGAATGCCGTGAGGCGCACAGCATCAGTCAGTCAACGTCAACGCTTTGAAGTCAAACCAATGATAGCCACGCTTGCGGTCAAGGGCACTTTTGTCAAGTTCTATACGACTTGCCGAGACGCTTTGAAACATGAGAGGAGGCCGATCTACTTGAAAGTGTAAAGCTGCACTTTTGTCAACAAATGGAAAAAAAACAAATGAAAAGGTTGATGACGAACCGGGTAAAAAAAAAAAAAACTGAGTTTGGGGATATTAAGTGAATGCTTAAAAGCGAAATCGTTCTTCACGTTTCCTCTTCCCTCAGGTAAATAATTTTCCGTTAGGAAAGCATGCTTCATTGGTCTCGTCACATGCGGTCGAGAAGTGCAACAAACGTTAATTGGGTTTTCGCAAAGGAGCGGGTTGAACAAAGATGCAACATGTGCCGATTGGCAAGATGAGTCCAGGTATTGAAGTGAAGAATAAAAGATGCTTGACGTGGTTCTGGTTTGATTTTTTTTTTTAGGGGGGGGGGGGAATAAAATCAGAACACTACAAAACAAAGGAGGTTTGGGCCATCTTGTAGAACTAACTGTCTGGAATCTGAGGCGCGGTGCAATCATTTTAAACAAGCACAATTGTGCCAGACACAGTCAAGGCAAGGAGCGTTTCTTTTCCCGCTTGTCGTAAACTTTGAACGTCTTTGCACCGGTTGCCCTTCGTCAATCCAGACTATTTTCCCAGGATGCGTCACAAACCCTTTTGCCAGCACATGCACGAACAACTGAGGAACCATTTGAAGAGGAACCATTTGGTAGTTAGATGGAGGTTAGGGTTTTACGCTCGTACTTGGAAGCTCTATGCCAGGGAACGGAGCTTGTTGTTTGCCTGCTATCGCCAACAAATAAACACCACGTTAAACACAAATGCACACACATAGTACACAAACACATGATGCCAAGACTTGGAAAATCCTCTTGCGGCTCATTCCCTCAATGCTTTGGATCTGTCGCGTCGATAGATAGATATCGACGTGTAGATATGGATGGAATTTGACAATGACGGCTCCAGGGGAGGATTTTTAAAGTCAAGGTTAAGAATAAAAACATAGGTTAAAAAAACAAAAACAAAGCTATTTTCGCTCAATAAAAGGGGACGTTGTGGCTGTGAGCTTTTTTTTTTGGAGTCATTTGCCAATGACACAACCGTTCGAATTTATTTTGGAAAGACTCGGTTGTGCGGCTGATCCTTACCGATATAAATGAATGTGCTGGGAAATGATAAACTATGAATAAAAAGATGAAAACCCACAGATGTCAATTCATAGTCCATGCAACAAAATATACAAATCAAACTTGTCTCACATGCAGTAAAAGCGTATTGGGATCGACTTCGATGCCCGAAAGCTCGGACGCCGGTATCAAAGTGTTCGCAACGCATAATTCATGGAAGGTGGTTAAATCGAGCATTCGTATCCTGTGCAAAATCTATCGTTTCCCGCTTTTATATAATTAGTTGACAACTGCAAACAGTTCAAAGGGGGCAACAACTCATTCAATGTAGGTTGTTTTGGAGGTAGGTGAAGGTTGCGATGTGATAAGCAACGGAATATTGAGCAAATGAAAGCATGCCATCGCACGCGTCCTATTTCTTCACGTACAACTGAGGGCACGAGTGAAAAACAGCCTAAAACCTCTCATTCGCTTGCTTCAAGTGTGGCAAATGAACAAAAGGCTGGGAGGAATGTCAGTCAGTATTATCGCAGTTCCAGTCGGAAAAATAAAATAAAATGTGCTGCTTTTGGGTTCATCGTACCTACAAAGTCACAGCAGAAAAATCACACCAGAAAACACAATTGAAGTCATCAATTAAAAAAAAAAAAAACATCTCGCTTACAGGGCAGCTCCAATCCTGTGTGTCCTGTGGTGTTGCGCACACATGGCGGTGAATGCCTTCCGTCGGCCATGTCCGACTCGGAACACTGAGCCTCGCCGTGAATCACAGCCAGACCCAAGCGCAAGCGTTCCGCATAGGACTGAGCTCTACGAGAATCAATGACAAAACATTGCACCCTCCACATAATACGTTGCATGTCTTCATCGGTAGACGGGCAGACCGTTTGAACGACTACATCAGAATGAGCCTTATTCACCATTCCAAAATTGATCAGAATCCACTGACCAGATACGTATTTTAGTGTTTCATCAGGAGCATTGCTGTACTATGTTGGTTGTCCCAAAAGTCACTACAGACACACGCACACACACAACTTTTAAGAGACAGGCGAGCAGCTAGCAAGACGCAGAAAATGGCTGAAATTTCCCAGGTGTGCTCTGCATTTGTGCACTTGGCTATGATAGCGCATAAAAATAAATTAGAATAAAATTGACATTTTATTTATTATCATTTACTATTTATTGTCAGCAATCATTGATTTATATCAATCAGATTTCCTCAGATGCCAATACCAAGGCTAAGTATATTTTGTGACACAACATCATTGATCACAGGAAGGTAAAATCTGTGCGAGTGTTTTTTCCATGCCTTTACCTCTTGGCCGCTGCTGGGGATTTGGCCACGATGATGGCATTCCTGTAATCCGGAATCTATAGGCAAATGAGAAAGAAAAAAAAAACCCTTATCACAGATTTAAAGCGGTGCATTATTCAAGCGCCAACAAGTTTGCTTGGGTGGAATTATCACCTCCTCTTGGATATACTGGATCAAGAATGGGGAGGCCCGCAAATTGTCCACCGGAAAAGAAAAGAAACCCTGGATCTCTTTCTGATGCAAGTCCATGGTGATAATGTGTGTTAGCCCTTCATAGGAGAATACACGTCGATGAGATTTTTTTTTTGAATGCAAACAGGAAATAAGGGTATGTATATGAATATATGAATACGATAACAGAGACGCTCTTTACCTGCTTTTGCCAACATGGAAGCCAACAGCTTACATACTATGGAGCCCCTTTTCCTCATCTTGCACTGTTTGCTGTAGGGGAAGTACGGAATAACCCCAATAATGTTCTTTGCACAAGAGGTCTTGAGGGCGTAGGCCATAACCAGCAACTCCATGATTGCCGTGTTGACATCTCTGCTTGGAGTAAAGTGACAAGGTGACAAATCACTGGAACTACAACCACAAATAGAATATGACATATTAAATTACAGCTGCAGTGTGCGGATGTCTCGAGCCTCTCCACTCACCTTGGGATGGTCTGAATGATGAAGATGGTTTGCCCACGAACAGATTCTTTTACATCCACTCTTGTCTCTGCATAAAGACCGAGTACTTCAGTCCCTTCGCATTCACATACACTGACTTAGCATTTCAATAGTTTCTCTTACCACTATTAGACTCTTGAAAGACAACAGACTTTCCCAATTCAACTCCAAGTCGCCTGAAGAGCAAAAGAACAACATTTAAAATAATCTTCCGTTTGTGTTGCACACGCAGACAAGCGGTCTTTCAAAATGTCAGAAGAACTTCATGGCCTAATTGGCCATCAGTGCAAGCATTCTACATCGTATGTAGCGTTGTGAATAACTCGTCAAAAGACAGGTTTAATAGGTTAACATAAGATGGAAACAAATGTGTTATTTGGAAAGTTCTGTTTGGCATGCAAGATCTAGTAATGAGCCGATGATCCATGACAATATTCTTACTCTGTTATCTTCTTCGCCAGTTCTGTGCATGCGACGGAGGAATTTGCCGAGAACACGCGATAGCCACTTTTTGCGACGTTCATTGTGTTGTTGCTGATGTTATTTGGTCCACGACCGAGGCTCCACACTGGATTTTGGGTGAAAACAGCTTTTTTTGGGGAGCAGTTTTGTTCTCGTGACGTTGACGTTAGCTGCCGCGCTAGCCGCTCGCGCGCTCGCCTGTTCACTTAAACCGTGCCAATCGAAACTACAACTTTCAATTTGTTTTTCACGTCAGAAAAGTGTAGCACGGGAACATTATGCGCCACTTGCAATTTTCTAGAACGTGTTGCGGTGATCAAACGACTGCGTGATACCTGACTAGTTCAGGTACCATGCCGCTGGTCCAAGCATCACCCGATATTGGTTAATACGGAAGCTTCTTTTGGACAAACATTACGAATCGCGTCGCTCCTGCTGCAGTATGTGTGTTTGTGTGTCACCGTTTGGCTCCAAGAAAACGCTTTGGTGAGAGCAGCCGGTTCAACCTTTCATTCCTTTGGGTGTTGTTTCTGCAAGTTGTAATCTTCTAATTTATCTTTATTGGCAATAATGTGAGCACGTTTGCCAGATAATGAACAACGCAAGGATTTTTAACTTATACCAAATACAACCTCATTAATTGAGGCTCTCTAAGTGCTATTACGCTGGTCAAATTTATTACAGTGATGTGGGAGACATAAGTATTCGTCACAAATGAGCTTTAAAACAATGTAGACCATGATTTATTACTGGGATGTGTAAGCGCTGCACCGGGGCTCGTTTGTACTTTAGCCCTGTCAGAAATCTTTATAGCCCCAGTTAAGCCCTCCATCTTTTTATTTGATAGGCAAAAATATATTCATAAATAATTATCTCAGCCGCCCTATTTATCAGTCTAGGGAGAGAAAAACATCCTGGTGCCGTCCCCGACTGCCACCCTTTCATGTGTAAACTCAAGCATTTAGATTCCAATAGCTATTGACATTATTTATGTTGCCTTTGGATGTTAAATATTCAATTCTCAATTGAAGTCGACCTGATCTGAATTTGTGAGCATGATGTCAATCAATCATCTGAAACCTGATGACTCCTACAAGCTACGTTGAGGTACAGCGCAATAAATTGGTGACATCCACAAAGAATGCTGGTTTGACGTGCAAACAATGACAACACAGGATGGCAGTGGCAAGTGCATACAACATTGTGTTGCTGCCTTTTCTTTTTTCTAACCAGTTTGATCATTAATGACACGCCTGTCAACGTTTAACCCGCGTCTGTACATTTTTCACACCTTCTGCATACACATTGTAGCTCAACAATATCGGCTGTGAATAGTGACATTTTTTTTTCTCTCAACAGGTGGCCCTGGACTAATTCTTGAGTGATTGGTGTTCCTTGCCCGACCAGCATTGAAATCGGAGCCCGTTCTCAGCTGTGGCAACAAAACCAAGATGTACTATTTCCTTGGAGAACCTTTGTCACAACAGGCTCACAGCAAGGGTGAATAGTATACATTTCAAAGAGTGCATCCTGTGTGTGTGTGTGTGTGTGCGGAGTGGGGCGGGGTGTTTTGGGGTTTGGGACCATGCTGTGACGTAGTCTTGCGACAAAGAACAAATCAAAATGAATGAGAATCTGTCCTATTTCTGATTGACGTCATTCTGTTTAATTTACACCCATTGGTGTGCTTTTGCATTTATGTTGGTCTGGCTTTGTGTGGAATTGAAAACGATTCGAGGTTAATCTCTTGAACAGTTAAGAGTGGGAATAGTGGAAGTGTGTGTCTTTATTTTTATTTATTTTTTTTAGGTCTTAATCTCACATTGTATCTCTGACCGCGGATTATTTTTTTCAGACGTCTATCTCATCATGTTTTCATCAAACAGCACTTATAAAAAGTGAGGTGGAAAGGGGAGCAGGAGGAGAGGGAGTGTGTGTGAAAGAGAGTACAGAAGCTCCTCCTCATTCGCTGCGTGTGTTTCTTGTGTTTTTTCCAGCCTGTTCTTCACTCACACTATCGCTCAGCAGAGATTCAGGGCTGGGGAGCAACGAGTCTCATTGGGCAAAGACGGAAAGGGAAGCAGCTTTCTCCCCCTCTCGCCCATCACCGGGAAAGAGCCAAGACGAGAAAAAAGGTCGGATTTGACTTTTTGTTCTTCATTTTGGAGGTGAGCTGGGGAAAGATCGTTGCCCTGGCTTCGGCATGTGTTAAGCACTGATCAGCTGTGTTCCTAGATGGAGAGGATGCAGGGAGAGGGAGAGGTGGACCACCTGGAGAGACCAAGCCCGCTGACTGACAAGGATAAGGTGAACATCCAGGACTCCTGGGCAAAAGTCTACCAGAACTGCGATGATGTTGGAGTGGCCATACTTATCAGGTATTTAGTTTTACTCTCTTGTTGACAGCAATATTTTCGCTGACTGTTTCTTATTTGATTCTCAAGACATTTTACTGCACATACGTTTCATTCTCTACAGCTCCGCATCATCAGTTAGTTCCGTAATGATCAGATATGTTTGTCTAGAACGTCAAGGCATTTTGATGCTTATCTGTTGCAGAATATATATATAAATATATGTATATGTGGCACGTGTCTAGAGGTGATCTTTTCAGACCTTTTATATGACGTGTAAAGGAGCGTAGCCAGTCATGATTTTGGATATAATTGTCTCACTTTCCTCCTTGTCCATAATCCCATTCATCAAAGTGTAGAGGCAAACAGGATAAACAATAATCCGTCAATCAGACACCCTTGGCTCTCAAAGGGCTCCCTCCCTTGATGCGGGTCATGTTTTGAATGCCAGGCATCCCACGGTGGCTCGAATATATCACAAGCAATCAGACCTTCAAGACAGCTTTTTGGGGGGGAGGGTGACTTGAGACTGTTTTTTTTTTTTTTTTTTTTTTGCATACAGCATTTTTGAATTTTGTTAAGCCGTCATGTAAACATCCATTTCATCCAAGTGTGGTGGATCACGCAGTCTGCTATGGTTTATTCTTGAAGGCTTCACAGCTGTGGTTGTTGTCTCTTCATGGAGTAAACAGAAAGAGCGAGGATCCGCAGGTTTATCAACATTTTTTTTTGGGGGGGGGTCATAATTCATTGCATGACCCTCCGTATCTTTATATATGCCTATGAGCTGAATGTTTAAAGGGACCTCAGATGGAATGCAAAGCATATAACTCTTCCAAGTCATCTATATATTGCTTACAGATGACGGGTATCGGGGTTGAAAGAGTGAACTTTAGAAAAAAAAAAACACTCACTCAAATCTTTATTAAGAATGCCAGTACCAACGTACAATTTCTAGGCCTATGGAATCCCATTGAAGAGTTTCCTCAAAAAAAAATAAAATAAAATAAAATAAAAAAACCTACTTGTATGAAGTCAATACATCTTAATATGTGTGCTATTGCCGTCTATTTGGCAGTGCTCCACATTTATATTTTGTTTACTGCATTAAGAAGGACAAAACTGGGAAAGAAATTCTCGGAATTTGAAGAATGAATCTTCATCGATAAGCGCGACCATTGTAAATTTCCTGCTCGGTGCCAAGAGTCCTTTCCATCAAGGTTCAGAGTAAACTTTTAAGCTCTTAAACTGCCCGTGCCCTCTTACGGGTTGCGGATATTATCTGACTTTGACACAGCCTGTGAAATTAAAAACTTTCTCCGGGTTCAGAACCTGGGTTCATCTTGAAGAATAGATAACGAAGGATTAAGGCTCCAATGGTCGTTTAATATACTAATGAGGCTATTTATATGCAACCACAGGTGGTTCAATTCCATGCGCGAAAGATTAAACATCGTGGTCCCTCATTAGCTTGTAAGAATCCAATTGGAATACTTACAGAGGCCCTCCATCTACATAGAGCTGAACATCCATCCTCCATCCTATTTTCAGGAATTTCAGTTCACAAATGCAATGTCTCAAAAGGCAGCTCTCGGTTTAAAAGTTAATTAGCAGTTGTTTGGTGAAAGAAAAGGAAACAGAACATCAGGATTACATTACCAGATGCTCTGGGCCTCTCCCTTAACCATGGGAGGGGGGTGAGTTTTTAAAGCCCCTCCATGTGCCTCAGGGCATAGCAGTGGTTAAAAAAAAATAAAGCACTTGTTATTTTGTCAAAATTCTGTCAAAATTTAGGGAACATGTGAAACATTTTTTTGTACTTGTGTGACATATGGTTTAATGAAATATATCAGTACCAGCAGAAATCTGAATTTTAAAAATCACATTGATATTTGACCACTTTATTTCACACATAATGGCGTGTTGTATTTTGAATCATAGTGAAGAGCTAAAAGCCCAACTATCTATTTTCTATCCTGCTTGTCAAGAAGGCGACCTAGAGCCTATCCCAGCTGACTTTGGACGGGAGGCAGGGTGCAGCCAGACTCAGGTGATCACATATGGGCAATTTTAAAATCTCCGTCAACCTAAAACACATGTTTTGGATTGTGGAAGGAAGCCAGAGTACCCGGAGAAAACCTATGCAATTACAGGGGACATATGCAAACTCCACAGAGGAAGGCCGGAGATGAAATCCCAGCTCTGTACCATAGAAATGTGATGCAGATGTGCTAATGAGTCCTGTACTTTCTCTCTCATCTTCCGGACAGGCTGTTTGTTAGCTACCCCTCATCCAAGCAATACTTCAGCAAGTTTAAGAACATGACGGAACTGGAGGAACTGGAAAAGAGCGCCCAGCTGAGGAACCACGCCCGCAGAGTCATGAACAGTATCAATACGCTGGTGGAGAACCTGGAGAACCCAGACAAGCTGGCCTCAGTGCTGAAGCTACTTGGCAAAGCGCATGCGCTTCGACACAAAGTGGAGCCTGTGTACTTCAAGGTATTGTTGGTGGAGATAAGGAACATAAAGAGACATGAATTAAAAAACACAAATAGACCTACTTAAGGGTCATCGGTGCAAATTAGCCTTCAGAATACAATTGTCATTGTGACAATCTGGTAAGCTAAATTTCAATTACACTATTGGCGGGAGCGTACAGAATATTTGCTCGTTGCCATTGCTTGTGGCCTTTTTTGATAGCGTAACCCCACCAAAAAAAAAAAAAAAAATCACTAAAAGCCAAAGAAAAAGTAAACTGAAAAACAAAGCCAATGCAAAGGCCCATAAAGCCAAAATCTCACAAGATTTGCCAATGTTTTGCATGACATTCAATACGAATGTTTTGGTGCACCTCTTGAGGCTGATTGGCGCAGAAAAATTGCGATGAACTCACCACATTCTTTGGTTTTGTAGGTTCTATGGATGGAAATCTTTTCTTTGGTGTAACAGACAGTACCAGAAATATCTTGCACCAGAAATTAATGGATTTGAAGAGTATGCACGAACTCTACATTTTGCATCTTATCTGCCCCATTTGTGTGCCTGTCAGTTCCTCAGTGGCGTTATCCTGGAAGTTTTGGCGGAAGAGTACTCAGACGTGATGACAGCAGAGGTGGCGGGAGCCTGGACTAAACTCTTGGCTACAATCTACACCAGTATCACAACCACCTACAAGGAAGTGGGTTGGACGACGCTCTCCAGCTCAACCGGGTGAAGGTTGAAGCGGGTTTATCGAATGGTGCGCATCTCTAGACCTCTGACCGTGTGTCCTCACGGAAGACCGTCTTAGCTTTGAAATGATGTATCTTCACAGAACCTGTATCTCAGAAATACCGTGTCATTTTGTCTATGGGCAGCTATGGAATATAGTACATAGGATACACTGCATAGGGCGCGCACGTGAGCTAAACCGATATGGAGCAATTCTGTTATCTTTCGCTGCTATGCCGTAGCTATGTTCATGAGTCTGGATTAGACTAGAAGTCGTCAAAGAAACTGGAATCTCAATTTTTGGGAGCCAACCCAGGTAAAGAGTGGAAGTTTGGAAAGTGTAACAAAGGACAAGAGGACACATTTGACACATGGAATGTGCCTTGTAATGAATGTGTACAGTACAAACCTGAAAACGGCCATGTAAATTTCCCATGATGCTTCGTTCAAGTCTGTCTTCCCTATTGGACACATTTTTACATTTTTAACAGTAACGACAGTAGATTTTCTCATCATGATGCACCTTTGGATCCATATTTACCAATGTTTTGAAATAAAAAAAAAATGAAAAAGCCATGTGACTCGATGATATGCGATACTGGTGTGCGGCAGTTGTTCCTGCATTTGTTCATGCATGTTTTTGTAATGTGAGAGGAAGCCGGAATATTTGGAGAAAACCCAACACATGTTGAGTCTTAATAATAAACACATCCATCGTCGAAATCCAGAGCTGAGATTCAAACCCCGCAGCTCAGAAATGTGAGGCATACACGCTAACCGGTCAGCTGACATTCTGATAACGAATCTCATGATGGTTGTTTTTGGGACGGAGCCCCACAGCAGGCTCTGTTTGCCTGCTCGTCATGCCAGCCAGATCTCACCCCTCCTTGATCCCAGCTAATCCTCTGAGCTAATCTTGACGATCGAGAGTCACAGCCAAGAGGGAAGACAGGAATAGTCTGATTGTTGCACCACAAACGTTTGCCTTTTCATTTCGAGGCTTTCAATGGGAGCGGAGGTCTCACCGCTCTAATCGCAAGGAGATCCTTGGGGAAGGATCATGTGCACCACAATGATGGTCCTCACCAGCATCGGTCTCATCCTGCGGCATAGATTCTCCAGTAAAATCAACCCGTAAGTAGAAGTCATTCGTCATTCTCCGCAGAAAATTCTCTTTGGGCCAAAATATTGAGATTTTGAGGTGTCACTTCCTTATGATACAGTCGAGTTACAAAAAAAGGCAAATATTGATATCATGTCTCTGTCATTGTTTTTTGTGGAGGCGCCAAACTCATGTTTTCATCCCATCCCTCCTACAAGATTTATTTTGGTCGTCAGAAATAGTGTATGTCAGGGAGAGACAACCTTCGCTAATGTACCCCATGTGGCTAATTATCGGGCTCCAATGTTTACAAACAGTATACCTTTTCCAGGACAAGGGGGTCAAGGGGAGAAAAGCATTGCTCTTGCAAGTACCTCACAGAGACCTTAGCGTGACCATGCGGGTGGGTTTAGACCTGTTTTCAGAGTTTGGTCATGTGATGTTGGCAAACTGAGCCATGATTGGTCGTTACCTGACCCCTTGAGCAACTGTGATGTCATTTTCAGTCGACAGCAAGTGGCAAAATGGAATGGCCACCCCTTGAGATGGATAAAAATGGGTTGATTTTTCTGCTTCATTCATATTCCACAAACGCAGTATGAATCAGAATACTATGTTTAGACTTGTGTATCTGCATGGAACACATTATTGCGAAGAAATTGTTCGAGTTGACTTCCCCTTTAATGTTGCGTATAATTATTCTTACCATCGGATGCAGGCAGAAGGAGGAAGAGGTGCCATATGTGAAGAGCGACGAAGCTGCAGACAATCATAAATGACGGTGAGTATCACTCACGGGGTAAGGAATAATAAAGAATCCATCAAGCAAACAAGGGAAATGTTTCATATGTACAGAAACCTTGATATAATGTAAAAGGGTAACTTTTTGATCGACATCATGATATTAATCAATAATCCAAAACAAAGGATTGGAATTGGTAAAATAAGCCGGAACAGATCCTATTGTCGATGCGTGCGTGTGTGAGCGTTTGTGAGACTGGAGGTGAGGGTGTGGGTAGGGGAAGGGGTTCACAAGAGGCTCCAGACAAGGGCGGAAAGTGGAGCATGTTACTGAGGCACAGATGCATAAAGAGGAACAACTGCAAAGACGCCTGTCCCACATTTCTCTCTTATGCACCGGCTGCAACTCTGCAAACGCTAAATGATTCAGAGGCTGAACAACAATCCATCATCATCACTTTGGAGACTGATTACAAATGCATTGCCTTCCACATCTACAGCTGTAAGAAATGCGATACACAACGCGATGAAAGTATTACAGCACTCAAAAAACATGACTTTTTTTTTTTTGACATGAATACATTTTTATGGAAGAAAGCAATTTGGTTGCTTCACAAAAGAAAACGTTAAATTATATGTATACTGTATTTCCAAAAAATGTACCATTGAAAAATCTGTTTGTTTCCTTCTACAGTAAATGATACTCTCTGCCAAAAATTGAAATAAAATAAACAGCACAATTCTTGGGACGAGCAGCACAACTGAGTGTGCACGTGGTATGTAGAATTTTCAACCCTGATGCCAAACAGCATTCTGCATTGTAAACATTTACTCGTGATTCGGGATTTCGGCACTCCAAGAAGTTGACAGTGCCGTGGCGGTTGTAGCGTGATGGTGCCTGGCCCGCACCATGTTCGTTCCTGGAACAACTAGGCCTGCCGTCAATGAAAGAATTCAACACAGTCTGCGGCCAAATTCCATCCACCAAAATGACACTCGGCCACACACACACAGATTACCTCTCGTATTTCTGAGTGGAAGGAATAGAATGGCCTGCCAACCAGCCTGACCTTAACCCAAGCGAACATTTGTGGGATGTGCTTGGGCACTCCTGCATTGGCTGACCCGCGATCAGTCATGCTTTATGAGTCAAATGTCATCCTGCAGCGGTGTGTGACTATCATCTGCAGGTTGTGCATGGTTTTTGCTCATGCTCCTGATCCTAAAAGTAACAACATGTCTTGTTTCTTCCTTGTTGCTCATAAGAACTCAGTTATCCATGTCGCAGCAGAACACCAAAACAAGAGTAGATAGTAAAAACAGAATAAGCCGTGTGTCAGCGGAAATGAAGGTTTGGTATATGTTACGGAACTTGCGTGCTCAGTTGTCCTGCTCTTTACTTTCATACATTCAGAATTTGTTTTTAATGTATGTACTATAGTACTCCTTCAAATCCCTCAAGGTGGTTGAATTTTTCACTTTTCGTTCAAGCCATAGAGAGAAGCAGAACAAAGGCACGCAAGCGTCATGTAGACTTTTCACGCTGAGCTGTTGCCAGTTTGGCTCAACTTCCAAACACCAATTTGGCGTCACGCTATCAGAAAGCGGGCATGCTGGTGCCTATCGCAGCAGTCTTCGAGGAGTCGGCGGAGTATAACTCTGATTCACCCCACCTCGCCCCTATGAAACCACTCTCTGGTTTTCATATTGGTTATATGCTTAACTTTTATGCTGGCTGTACTTCCTACGGGAAAACTGTACACATTCAGCGTTATTGTTTCAATAACCATCTGCAGAGCAAGAAATGCCAGTTTCAATATTTCTGCTCAAATAAAATGGTTGCTATTGCTATCCACAGCCAGATGTAAACACGTGGAGCTAAAAGGCAAACTGTTGATCCCTCACCTGTATTCATCTGTTGATGTCAAATCAAATGTTTACTTCTGCTCTCAAGACTGATATGGGGAGATGTAGCAACAATCCCCTCACTGTATTTTCGTTTTCTCTCTTTGCTGATTCAGACAGGTCTGCACATGGCGGCTCATGCCAAGATTCCAACCAGGAGTGAAGAAACAACAAGGTGGGGGTGGGTGGGTGGGCTTTGAGTCTGTTCTGTCCTGCACATGCTCCCCATTATGCGACAGGAAACTGAGGCAAAGGGTATTTGGGCTGAATTCCAGTTTGAAGATAACATATTCTCTGTTTTCATGCCAGTTGAAGCTGGATAGATTTATCCAATGACCCTGAATTGTTTGATTTAGTTTTGCATCACCGCATTAAAATGTTTATGGGCAGAGCTCTGTCTGATACTAGTAATGTGCCTCCTTGTAAATAACTAAATAAATAAATGGATGAAACAGACATTACCTTTGATTTGTGCAGCTGCTTTCTTCAAGCTCGGTCGGGAGATGTGCTTTTCATAAAAATGAGGACAGCCGAGCTTCGATAGTTTTTTTTTTGTGCCATTTGAAAGAACATCTCTTAAGTGACCTTCTGAATCTTATGAAATCGACAACTGATGTGTCATGAAAGGCAGTTCCCTAAAATCTTTTGAGGTTAATTGTCCTGTTGCTTGATTAAAAAAAAAGTAAAAACGTCCGTGTGCTGTTGTAAAGTATCTCCATGCGTGATACCAAATACTAAGGAAGGTGTACAAACACAGGGCAAATGTCAGGAAGTATTAGTAAAGGAATGTAGTATTGATTTGGAGTCCATTATAGATCATCCTGAGACGTGTAATAAAGCATTAATCCATGTTATTACTCAAATTGAATTAAAATCTCACTTCTTTGGAATGATTAAGTGATGACATTACTGCTGGCCGTTTTGGCCAACAAGGAGAGAGAAAAAAAGTTAAGCAGAGCGCTTTTCGTGTAGGCGTCTAATATAGCCACAAAATCCAAGGAGCATGAACTAAATCATTTTCATGTGAAATGACACATCTATTCAGATGATTTAATTGCTGTAATGATATTTATTGCTGAACTGGAAGTGAACTCACATCTTGCATGACATCACACTGAAAGAATTCAAGATATTTTTATGTTGTTGCTTTTAATGTGTCTTCATTACTTGCGGAATAATATTTAGATCACAAAATTATACAATTTGTGCTGCATGTTGGCTAAAATATGCACCTACACACTAAAATACCGGATGTTTAAAAGTCTAGCCCGTTAGAAATTGAGCAAGAAGCTCATTGTACACACAATGAAAATATTTAAGGAATGATCACACATTTCTGATGACTGGACGTTGCTTCTAGGTTATCGCTTTGCTGATTAAGGTGCAACATAAAGTGTAAATCTTACTGAATTAAACACGGGCAAAATATGAATCATTCAGATCAGTTCTCGAACCGGTTTCCTTCAATTAATGTTGTAAATTCTGAGGCCGCCTGGTGGTGAGGGTGTTTAGAAGCTTCAGCGTGACATTAACCACAGATTAAAACGTTGACTTCTTTTAAATCTGTAATCTTTTAAATCTGTATCGCGCATATGAGTGTGCGTGTGTGTGTATATGATACACACACACGCACACTCATGCAAAGGGTTTTTGAGAGCACAGCTTCGGTGCCTTCGCGGGTTCTCTGGAAACTACATTACCCACAATGCCAATGGACAAGTCAACAGGCAACGTTCCTCCTTCACACCGGTTTAAATCTCGCAATGGAAGGGCGCTCGTGTGCAAAAACTAAGCCCTCAGATTCTTTTCATATGTGTGCGAACGTTTGCACTCTTCTTTAAATTAACCGTCACGTTATAAATGGTGGAGCGCGAGTGGGCACAGGAGTATTTGTCATCACCATTGGAAACGAGACGCCTCATCAAATCGATGCTAAAGTAGCCAGCTAACCGCTCCTGTAATGGTAAACAAACCAAAATGGTTCGTATCATGACTGACTGCAGTCTTCGTGACCGATTTTTGTCGTTGAATTGTTGACTTTGTCCGTTTGTTTTATTTGTGACGCTATTTTCAGGCCACCAAGCCAAAAGGGAAGCCTCCTAAAAGTAAGTTTCTTATGTTATTGTGATACAGAATTACAGTACTGTATGTAAAGAGCTAACACGTGCCCTCACGTTCAAAATATAATACACACTTAGAGCCTCGAGTGTAACAAAATGAAGAGTTCCATCCTGATGTTTAAGTTGATATTTTCATAATTCTCAGAAGGCCCATTCAGTGGTGGAGATTTTCTCGACAGTTCATTTGACAGTGACAGTAAGTGACAGCAAAAAAAAAAACAAACAAAAAAAAACTTGTTATGATTACTATAGTAGGCCTATGTTCTTAATATTTTAACAATTTATTTACCAGAATTCCCACTAAGAAGGAAATCAGGACGTGGTGGATTACAACATAGGTTTGTTTGACTCATTATTTATAATCCATAAGAAATTATACGACCTATGAATACTTTTTTTCTCTTCAGCACATCTGACATTGAAAACATCTTCAGTATGCTAGACGATTTAAATTTGGATAAAGCCAACACTGAGGTATGTTGACAGCTATCCAGAGCCTTTACAGGGCCACCATGATTGATCTCTGTTGTGGTGGCCCAACCAAAACCTGGCCCTTTATATTCATTCATTTCTATATACTGTATTATTTATTTAAGTCTTTAAGAAAATGTTACTTTTGTTTACTTTCGAGAAATACAATAAGTGGGTATATTTCAGGGTAAGCTGGCGAGGAATGTTTTGAAAAATAAAGAAAACCATAACAATTAAATACAACAGGGCCAATAGGGGATACATCATAAGCACCAGTGCAAATTTATTTCACTCTCCATGTTGTGTCTGTTATTTTGAATTCACCTTTGTACAGGGTCCAGATGATATGAATGCCGCATCAAAGAAAACAACTAATTCACCTTCTGTCGAAATGAAACAATCTGAGAATGAAGTGTTCTTGCCAGAACCAGATAAAGCCAGTGATATAAAACCAAGCGAAGCAGGTAATATCGCCGCACCCTTATTATTACTGGAAAATAGTTGACGATTATATTCACTGACTCAGATGACCTCGATGAAACTGCCATAGAAGGGAAGAAAATCAACTCATCTTTTGCACGTAACAAAAAGTTCAGCTTCTCTGGTGAGTCTGCCATTCGTCTTGGGTTCTATTTGGGCACAAGGGCCATCTGACATTTTTGGTCAGATCCGAACCATACTTGGTCTTTTTTTCTGCAGACCTTGATGACCAGGATGATTTGGATGACCTGGTTGACCTGCTGGATGGTTTACCGCCACATAAAAACAAGACGCCATCAAAATCCAAATCACAGCCAACCAAACCTGAAAAATCCGCACCTTCACATTCGGCATCTCTGGGCCAAAAAAAGGAAACAAGTAAACATGAAAGTTTACACGATCTCATATTTATCATGTTTCAATGTAAACCTCACATGATGAATTCCTCTCCTCTTTTATATGTTTTTTTTTTCCTTTTTCTTTTTTTTAATCAGATACTGGAGCAAAAAAACTCAACGACCTTGCGTTTGATGATGAGAAAGACGATTTGATTGATGAGCTTGGCTTGGACTGTGAAATTCCCAAGAAAAACGACAATGTGCTTTGGTCCAACAGGGAAAGGTGACGGCTTTGTCTTCCCTCATAATATACAACATAGTAGTGATTGGTCCTCTTTCATAGTTTTCAACTGATACTCCTTTAGTGATTTTTGCCCCCCCCCCTTATGTAATACTGATTTTTTTTTTTTGTATTTACGAATGACCTAAATCCTTTTGTATGTGTTATCTCAAAACATCAGTGAGCAACCACAGCGAGCTCGCACCAGACTCGATGAAATTCTGGAGAACTGTAATTCTCGTCGTCCGGAATGGCCACCATCGGGTGCTAAGAAGGACCAGCCCCTGTCTCGGGAGAAAAACTTCAGTATGAAAGGTTAAGATATCACTCTGCCTAATTGTGTCATACACAGTGAGTGGGATGTCGTCTTTTAAAATAATGTCAGACCTTTATGTCCATTTTGCAGAAACCCTTTTGGAAGATGACCTCGCATTTGGGTCCTATCAGCCCACAATGGGAGACACCTCTTCAGGACTCCAGTCCCGTCGGCAGTCCATCAGGTGGACATTTACTCCGCGAGTACACTTGTACCTTGATTGCCAGTGCTCAATCTCATAAACGTTGTGAGTTACGAGCCATGACCAAAGTGTAGTGGCAATGGACTTTCAGCCATTCATTCAAGAGCGTTAAAAACTAAAACACACAAAAATAGTGGTCGCTTTTTGGTGCCCGGAATGAATTCAGGCTATTTCATTTCACTGAGGAGAACCGTTTTGATATGTGAGAAGTTGATCGGCAATATTCCTCTTTTGCCTTACCCCCAAAAAAATTAAAAAAGATTCCCCACGGAGGATGTCAGTGCTTCCACCCCGGAGAAAAAGCCTCCCACGGCCCCAACCGCGAATCGATCTCGCAACCCAGCGGACTGGCTCTGTCTCAAAGCCAACGATGAGCAGAGCCACCTTGAAGATGACGTCAAAGAGAAGAAGACGTCCACAGACTCTCCAAAATCTCCTTCTTCTCCCCTATTGGAGAGAAAGCACTTTCTGTCTGGTGAGCAGAATTTATCAGCCGCTAAAATAGAAGTGAATGCCTCCGTTTTGACTGACACCAGCGCAGTCAAGCCCGAGGCTATTAAAAGACAGAAGAAGGACGAGGAGGAGGAGGAGGATGACTGGTTGGCAGGAGCTCTGAGCAGGAAAAAGTCTTTCTCGGGATCAAAGTTTGATGCCAAAATTTTAAATCAGGAACAATCTTTAGGCCTTGGAGAAGAAGTGGATCTGGAGTCACTTGTTAGGTAATGTTCACAAGATGACACAATCTCTCAGTAGTCATACATTGACTCTTATTTTTCAATATGGAACTGTTTGATGATCTGGTTTTCAGGAAGGAAGCCCCTTCACACGCCCGCAGAGGCAGAAACAACATCCCTGGGAACCAATCGTCACCCTCCAAGGATGCTGGGTAAGTAAAAACGCAATCGATTGAATGCTTCCCAAACTTGAGTAATATACATACTGTACATGTATATATATATATTTTCAACGTTGTTGAATTTGTTTCAGCTCCTCACATGGACAACCGAGCCTTGCTGATCTACATTCGCTTCAAAGAGAAGAGAGAGCCAAGCAAGGTACTGTACATTTGTCTTTTTTTACATGACTGCATTGCTCCACACGTACTATGTTGAGGTACCGTGACACGTTTTTGTCGACTCTTCCATAAAAATATCGGTGAGGTGCTTGATGTAGTTTCGGTCCTGGCTTTGTATATTGATTGGGGCAGTCATGCCGCACATGACGAAATAGACATCAGCTTCAAAATACCGGTACTGTATCTTTTTTGTGCAGGTTTGATCCCATTCAAATTTGCCTTTGTTGCATTGTTGACATCTTAACAATGGATAAAACATGACACATATTTGAGCTGACTTTGTTGGACTCTGAACAACTTAACTTACCCATGCCCGTACCCGGGATTCATTGTCGTCACCCGCCACCAAGCATTTCTTTTTCTTAATGTATATCGTCACTCCCATGGATGCTTTTTTTTTTTCAGCGCTCCCACAGCAAAACCTCATGCCAAACTCATTAGCCGCTGTCCAGAAACAGGTATTGTTTTCATGACGAATAATGTTGTTTCGATTTAGCTTGCTGTATTTTAATTCCTTGTCCCGTGGGCAGGTGCCATTTTCAGCTGACAGCTTGCAGCAATTGTTACTACAACAGCAGGTATGGAGGTGCTACTTAGTCCGGTTTTCAGATCCATTTCAATCCTCTTCATTCGGTATGACTGATGCAATGGATGTCATAGTTTTGTTCTCACATTATTCCTGCTTCTGTCTGAAAGATGATGCAGTCTCAGTTATTGGGGCTCCGGGGTGTTTTGGATGCTGGGGCCCTGCAAAAACTCAATGAGCAGCACCGCGGTGACGGAGAGGATTTACAAGCGCGTATCATTCAGCTGGAGGGACAAGTATGTGCTTGCTTGCTTGCTTGATAATGATCGCTCGTGATGTAAGCTCAGACCTCAACCTGTTCTTGTCCAGGCTAAGACTCTGCAGCTGGAGCGAGACCACTGCCAGAAGTTGCTGGAAAGTGTCCAGCAGCAGCATCAACAGGACATAGAACTCATGGAAAACGCACACAAGTAATCATTCCGAGATAAATGCTTGTACACCCACCATGTGTTCAAAAAGATGAGTTGCACTGAAACCATCCAACGCGCCCACCTGCAGGACTCGCGTTAAGCTTCTTGAGGAATCGGCGATCCAGCGGGAGACGCGGATGCGGCAGGAGAGCGATGACCTAATTGAACGCTTGGCCGCGCTAACGCAAGCGGCCGAGAAGGAGCGTTCGGACCTGCAGGCTCACTACCAGCGTAAACTGGCGCAGTTCCAGCAAGACCAAGACCGAGATGTTGAGAGACTCCGGGATTTGCAACGGTAAAACTTACCTGTGTCAATAGAGCTCGCTGGCAAGTCCCCATTGAGGGTTTGCTTCAAATGTTGAAAATCGGATGATCATAAAAGGCTTGCTCTGCATGATGGTAACAAATTCCACTCATGCATCCTCCCTTTCTTTTTGTTGACTTTCAGAAAATCTATCACAGAGATGAAGAGAGACCACGAAGACCATGTCAATCGGCTGAAAAGGCTGAAAGAAGAAGAGATTGACGCGGTAACAAGTGCAACATCCGAGACCAGGTCCATTATTTATTTATTTAGCACGTGTTTGTGCTTATGGGTTTGTTTTGATTGTTTCCAGTCAACATGAATATGATACATCAACAGAGTGTGTAAAATCCTTTTTGATTTGATTCGATGGAAGAATGTCTCGCGTTTTTGTGCAGGTCTCTAACGCTTGTAATCGAGAAGATGGAGCAGTTTTCTTTTCGACTTGGGGATCTCTCCACTTTGGTCGAGAGCAGGCATGAACACACAACCCACGGCTTGGAGCAAGGCGCGCGACACCGAGATGAGCAGCTTCGAAGTATGCGCTTCGCACTCCCGGCGATCAAGATTCGCTCGTGGACGAGAGCTACCGTGGAATCGCGAAATGTTTCTTTCAGTCATGCAGGAGCGTTTGGCTCAGCAGCAGAAAATGATGGCGGAGGAGAAGGCTTACCTTAAGGAGATCATCTCCAGGATGGACACTCAGCTCAATGAACAGCAGAGACAAATTGAGAAGGTTAATGACAATTTATGGGCTTTTTTTTTTTTTTCTTTCGGTTGTGGGCCAAAATTTAAGCGATAAATACGATTCATCTTTCAGGAGCGTTGGAAGATAACAACAGAGCAAGCCAAGGTTGAGTCGTCCCTGAAGAGCTTGGAAGAAGAACGCCGGTCCCTGACTATGCAGATGAGCATGGAGAGAGAGGAGCTGGAAAGAGCCAAGGTAGGGCAGAGAGCAGGCGCAGCCACGACAAAAATGTGAAAACCTAATTCCCCGTGACTCTTCCTTTCTCGCGACACAATAGAGTGCGTTACTGGAGGAGCAGAAGTCGGTAATACAGCAGTGTGCAGAGGAGAGAAGAAAGTTGGCCGCGGAGTGGAACATCTTTCATACCCAGGAAAAGCAGCGTCGAGAAAGGGCCGAACAGGATGTCAGCACGTTACTGGAGAGGAGAGAGGGCTCCATTATGAGTCTTGCGCAGGTAAGATGAAACTGTTTTTCAATACACTCACTCGGTTACAAGTCCCAAATGCATACAACTTTTTTTTTTTTTTGGTCACAGGAACAGGCTGATTTGAAGCTTCGCAGCGGAGAGCTAAAACTAAAAGAGACGGCTGTGGCACAGGAGAGAGAGGCTCTGGAACAACTGAAAGGAGAACTGGAGCAAGAAAAAGGGAGGATCAGCAGCACTGCTCTGAGGCTCAAAATCCGAGCACAAGAAGTTGAGGCCTTCAGCAAGGTCAATTCAAATCGCCATTAAGATTGGGATCAATATGTTCTTCTACTCCTTCCGAACGTTCTCAGTTTGACTCTTTGTCGCTACTATTCGCGCAGGCACTTTTATCCTCATCTACCCTAAAAATGTCTGTCCAAACTTTAGTGGATATTTTTTCCCCCCCCCAACTGCTACTTGACCTGTTTTGTGCAGCTTGCAGCAGAAAAGTATGAGGAAGGAGAACAGGCGTTGCAGGAAGCCAAACGTGTAGAGTCCGAACACCAGGCAAGGCTGAGAACAATTCATTCCCAGATTGAGAGACTGAGGCAGCTAGAACAACGTGCTCTTCAGGTATTTAATCAGGTTAATATCAACGAAAAAAAAAATGATTCTCACTCTCAGGTAATGAACCTTGCACTTTCAATTGTAGGAGCGAATAAGGTTTAATCCACAGGAAGCAACAGAGAAGCCGAAGCTAGACCCTCCGAGAGGTTCTTTGAAACAAGCCAATTCCATCCTCCCAGGTGATGTCGATGTATAATCAGTTGCACAAATTTCAAAGTGACCCACTATGCAAATAACCATGATTTGCGTTCATGTGTAGACTCAGGTTCAGCAATACCAGAGCCAAAATTGACACCACCTTTAACCACTCAGACAATGCCCAATTCGCAGTCTGTGGCACTCCAAGCAAGTCTGGCTATATGGAAGTACAATGCGCGAAAGGTGAGCAGCATTCATTGAATGATGCGTGTGCATTTACAGTATGAACGGCATGTATCTAAATATGCTATACTATATATTTTTGCTAAACAGGTGCATGTCAATGAATTAGATATGGGGAAAAAAATTCAGTAGTTCAAAAAGGTCAAACTAGAGATTCACAAAATACTCCCAAACTATTGTAACGCTTATAACCTTTATTGCAACTCACACAATGAATGGTCATATCAGGAAAACATGCATGCTTATTTTTCAAATGATTTATTCATTATATGGATTTGCACTAAACTGAATTACTCATACACACAGGAGCACGACTACCTGCAAGAGCAGCAAATCTTCCTTGAAAGCTTGAAGAAAAAGTCATACAGACAGAAGTCACACTGGGCTCCAGCTTCCTGATTCAAGCTCACTTTTGGGGCCTTTATATATTTTTGTACAACATTGTTTATTAAAAAAAAAACTACAATTTTGTTTTCCGTGCCACTTATTTTGCTCAGGTCATTCATCCCTACGCAGAAATTTTATATAGGGATAACTTGTATCATCGCTGGGTTGCTTGAATCTGCCCAAGTCCATCGGTAAGTACGCATGCATCTTCTTTCCCATCGAGAGAACCACGTTCTGACGACAGCAATTCACTGCACCTAAAAAGAAAAATCTCAGTCATTCTCTTGCGACCATCTTTGATCCAAAGAAAAAAGTCTGCGGCCATTTCTCAGATCAAATATTGCCAATCGTCAGTTATCGCATCGGACGGCACTTCCTATGCAGAAGTTATCATCACCGAAACGGTAGCACAACGCAGTGTAATGGGACAGTGTAGTACAAACCTTTTCAAAGTCCTCTCGTTCGGACATTTGAAACCAAGTGCACCTGAAACAAGAACAAGAAGTTACTGGGGGGGGTTGGAACATCAGCAACGTGCTTCTACAGGCCACAGTCTACTGCTGGTCAGGTACCATTGTTCTCCACACGGTGTTTTCAGACAGGGATAACAAAACTCATCACATACAAAGAGCAGATTACAATTTAAAACGGTATAAAACGTCAACCATAAGACCTTACCCGTGATGATGCGACTGCACCACGTGCTGGTTCCATTGGAGCTAACGAGCTAGCCCCATTACAAAGTCGCTAGATTATCCAAATAAATATCTAAAAAGAACCTCAGTTCAAGAAGGACCGTCTATGTTCACCAATTTCGTGTTTGAGCATCGATGCATCAAAAGCTGGTGCACGTTGGCCCGTTTGATATCTGTATTCATCTTCCACGCTGGTCGACAGCTCCGCAAGAGGACAGAGGCGAGAAGAGACAGGAAGTCTCGCGCGATCTGGTTTTATTTGGGGTTTACGTCACAACCAATGGGCGTGACTATCATGCGTGGTTACGAAATACCTGTACAGTACTTTTACTGTACCCTAAGAAAATGGTTTTATATGTACTGAAAACTCGTTACTTTAAAATGTGTTCATCTTGTTTAGTAAAATGTGCAGTAATGTTGACTTTGATTATCAACTTATACACAAGCATACAACTACACGAGAGCAATAAACAATGCTATATTACTACCCCTTCAATAATATGCGATGTTTTCCCCGTGGACATAATTTATTTCTAGGATCTAGGCAAAATTCCTGTGCGCGTGCGCGCGCGTGTGCGTGTGTCTGTGTATGTTAATTTAAAGGAAAATGATTTCCCCTTTCTCTTGAACATACTTAAAGGATTAATCGTCAATCTATTGACGTGAGAAAGGTTCATGTTACAGTTTAAATTTGATTTCGACATTTATGAGGCTATGATTGGCCTGGCCAAAATTGGCCCGAAACAGAAAACGTGTGCATGCAAAATGTACTTGGGCGCTTTGGTGGCTGCACTCCCTCTTTTGGCCACTAGGAAGAGACTCCGAACCAGGAATGGTGACCTGGCGCTCGGAGCGTCCCACAGCAGAACTCCACTTGAGAGTCGGTACAGCAAGCGCCATCCTCACAGTGGCCTGGCCGGGATGGAGAAGGACGCCCCTGAAGCGGAGCCACCCCGTCAGCGGAACGGCTTCGTGGGCATGCTTTATGGGGAGTTTACGGACACGCTCGACGACAAGGTCCGGTACTCAGTGAGCCTGACGGAGAGCGCCCTGACCATCCAGAGGATCTCCTCGTCCCCCGGCCGGACCAAGGTGGTCTTCAACTTGACGGACTGCGTCGGCTGCCGGGCGTACAGAGGGAGCGACAGCGCGGACGTCGGCGCCTACTTTACCGCCTATTTTTACCCCTTCAAACGGCGCTGGATGAGCGCCGGCGTGGCCCGGCAGCGAGTGGAGCAGTGCTTTCGGGTGGCGCTGGTCCAAGACCCCCGGACTAACCTTCTGGAGGCTGAACGGTGGGCTTGTGCCATCAGGGATGCTTCTGTGCAGCAGGCACCCCGGAAAGACGGTGAGCAAGGTCACACTGTTTACATTCATGCAGTTTATGTGGGTCATCCCAGAATTGGAGGGCGATTACAGAGTATTTATTTTATTGTATGACGTTGGCGTGTTTTCAAGAAAAAAAAACTATATTGTGTATGACAACAACAGTAGGTTTGATCATAATCTGTGTTTTTTTTTCCCTGATATTATTAGAGTCTTTTTCTGACATGGTGAGAAAAAAAATCTTCTTCAGCAGTTGCGTTGGCGTGACACAATCCATCATATGTGTGAAAATGTTGAGCAAAGACTTACCTTTTGTCTACGGTCAGAGCAATTAGTTTCATGTTGTCAATTATGCCGAGTCATGTCGCTCCCTTTTTTTTCCTCTTCCTCTAGACAGATAAAAAGCTTTTTAGTAACACAAATGTATGTTGAGCGATACAACTTCAGAGCATGAAGCCAACTTTTAAAAATTTGATAGAATACTCTGTCATAACTTTGAGAGTGATTCCTTGAGATATGAGTAACGATGCTTAGAATTTTTCAAGATATGAGCCATTGACCCGGAACGATTTTCTTTCATCGACTGGGAGCAAAAATTGGAGATACAAGTGCTTTATTGAACAATCCTCTCCGTAAAAACAAGTTTGTCAGACAGTATGCTTGCATTCCGTCTGCCAATAACCTGCTGGACTTGCCTGGAAGGTGATCCACCTTCCATCCATTCAGTCAGCCGGCCTGTGTGAAAAGGCACTCTAGAACAGCACACAATAGCTGACTGCATTAGTAATACGGGCCAAAGTCTTGCCTCGTCACACCTTTTAAATTAATTACCGCTAGTCATCCATCCATCCGCCCATATTGTACCTATTTCCCAATCTTGATTGATTAAGGCATACGGTCTACATTGGAGGGGGGGAAATCACTACAACAAGCGGATATACACATTAAATAAATAGGTTCTGCCAACTACAGGAACAGAATTTATTTCTCCCAGCTGTCACTCAATGTCACTGCTTCAGATAGATGAGCAAATATATTTTATTGGGAGTAAATAAATAATTGTCGGACAAATGAAGTGAAAGTGGATCATTTTCGGGAGCACATGTGATGATTTCTCACAGCACCCTGATTGGGAATCACTTTTGTATATCACTTAGCCTCTTTAGTGGACTTTGACCGAGAGACGGTGTTAACCCCCCCCCCCCGACTGGTTGACAGCCGCACGCAGGACATATTGGCAGACAACAATTCACGCTCGCATTCACATCTATGCACAATTTCCAGCGTTCTTATGACTCTAGTCAGACGCATGAATCACGCAGGGAGTTTGGCCCTTTAGAAATACGCACTCCAAAATCTTGGAGCTAGCTTCGAGGTTGAAACAGAGGACCAACTCTGTTTTCTTCCATTTTTCCAAAAGGCTGACTGTCCCATTATTTGACTCCGCCCGGTCGATTTACATTTCAAACTGCTGCGCCGTCAACAAGAGCGTCGCTGCCGCTCACACGCCATTCATCTGTGCAGTCAATTCCCACCGAGGGTTTATTGTTGATGTGCGGAAAATGAAAACACGGCCTGATTGCTGCATCTGAAATTGTCTAACGAGGTCTCGTCCTCCTCCACCTCCCCCCCAATCTCATTATCCTGTCATCCTGGATCACAATGAGGTGGTAATTAACATATATCAACCATATGGGAGCTGTTTATTCAGCTAATTACTCCATCACTCAAATGGGAAGAAGCAGCATGTGAGACCTAGTGATCCAGTACATATTCGTCGGTGTGCAACTATGAAACGATAACTGGGCATGCCTGGCAGCACCGGAAGCTCTTATGTTTGATCTCGGCAGATTATGTAAATAATAAAGTGTCTGGTGAGTGTAGCGTCGACCATTGAAAATTGCAAGAACCCAAACAGTGCAGTGGAACAAGCAGCTGGTTGTGGAAGCAACCCATGTGGAATGTCGGTGACATATAAATAAGATGCTGTGTGCATATCGCCTCCCTGCGGTCTGCAGTCAGCAGGAATTTTGGCAGGCAGAAGGGAAGACGGTAACCTGAGCGGTAACTGTGGCACTCGGTCTGTGTCTTCCTATATTGACCTCATCATAACGCTGCATCTGAGCTTGTGGAGTCTTGAAAATGACCAATCATCGATCCACTTTGGAGATGCAGAATGGTTGTCTTTTCTCGTGTTTTCCGCTCACACATCTTTAATTTCTAATCTTTGATAGCATTCCAAACCCAAAGCAGCCCGTCAAAGCAACTGACGGAGCAGATCACTGTTGTGGTAAGAAATGTTGCCGTTCTTGCAGAGGGTGTATGAAAGTCAGTGTGAATCCTTAATCCCTCATATCTCTTGTAGACTATTTATCCTAAAGTTAATTACATTTGAGCTCGCTGCAGTTGGGAAGGCTGGATTAAAAGAGCAAGGGAAGTGCACCGTGCAAGGTTTGTATTGCTTCTGCTCGTGAAATTTAACAACAACTCTTTTTAGATGTTGTTGTCTCCATTTGGGAACAAAATATACTACAGCCCAATATTGTAAAGGACTGCTGAGTACAAATATCCAGCAGTTTCTTTCCACTGTATCATGGTTTAAAAAAAAAAAAAAAAAAATCTATTTATTCTCTATCCTGCTTGTTCTCATTGAGGCGGGCTCAGTCTACCGCAACCCAGGTAACACTGAGCGACGGGGTGGGCATGCCTTGGACCGGTTGCCAGCCACTGGAAGATTTTATGCAAGCAAAGCAAGAACATGCAAATGCCTCACAGGAGGGCTTGCGTGTTTGTGTGTGTGTGTGTGTGTGTGTGTGTGTGTGTGTGTGTGCGCGCCAGCTCTGATGACCCCACTGTGGCTTCTATGGTGACTTGCGTCACGAGAAGACCTCTGACCTCAGCCAGTATCTCTCAAACCCCTGCGAGGCGTCGTGGTCTTCTCTGCGACACGCACTGCCAACATATTCTGCCCTCCAGCCCGGTGATGGAATTTTGCTTATTTTCACACATGACAGTAGTGCGGAAGCCCACCGAGTGTTTGCA